ACCAGATGTTAGACCAGTCCATTCTCCTTCATGTGTTCAGATTGGCAGATTCCAGGAGCCAAAAGTAGAAACTTGCCTGTGACCAAAGGGACGGCAGTGCTGAGACCAGAGTCCATAATGTCCTCCACTGGAGTTTCCCCCCCGGTTTTTATTATGAAATTATTTATACACCCAGAAAAGTTGAAGGAATAGTGTAACAAGTCTTAATTTCTCAAAAGCAAGCCTTAGCGATTTTTAAGAATCTTCCACTTCTATTTGTTTTTATATTATTCATAAGAATCATCAAATGAACCACAAATTGGCCCTTAATTCTTCCCCTATTTTGAAGACTCTGCAAATTCAGCTGATGAAACTGTAAGTGTGTGACAGAGATGTCTGACAATCTTATGCACCTGAAGGTGCACCTGAACTTGAAAGCTCTTTGAAACAGTAACAGCAATGATAACCCTCACACATTGTTTTTGGAGCATTTGAAGGAGGAGAAGTGGGCTGAACCCATGGTGTATAGGTAATTATTTTCTGGAAATAGTAACCTTTTGGAAGGTAATGACTGCTACTCAAAATACCTCTGTTCTACAGGAGTGGAATCACCTATAAAGAGCCTGATCACCTGGCACTGGGTGGGTGAGACTCACCTGGCATGGCTGACTTGTTGTAGTGGCAGCTGCAGTGAACCCCAGCCCAGGCGAGAACACAGGCTTCTGGGTTTCCCTGCGATCAACCAGCGAAGTGGCCTCGAGCCCATTGCGTCACCTCTCTGCACTCCACTTCCCTTCCTTGTAAAATTCAGCGGTCAAACTTGATGGTCTCTTTCGGATTTAACATGCATTTCCTTCCTTTTCAGCCCGGTCCCCTTGGGAATACCAACTCATGCCACTGAAGCCACTCGGAAATCCAGTGAATGGTCGTAACAGGGCACACTGGCAATTCTTATTCAGATGTTCCTCCTGGTTTTACAGAAGCTCTTTCCTTGAGGACAAACTTGTCCTCCAGTGGGAAAAGTGCCCCTGCCTGGCCCTACCCTCGCCATCCCCAGGGGAGCAGTGGGGCCCAGAGAGCGCTGAGGTGCCTTCCAATCGGATGGCCATTCGGACGACTCAGACTGCCTTCCCAGGATGCATTTCTTCTCAGGGGGTCTTGGGTAGACACTGTCAGGCTGTTCAGCTGGGCCAGGAGGGAAGATGGGGAAGTCAGCAGTAATGTCTCCAGACTATGTGAAAACCAGATCCATAGTAATAACCAGGTATTGTGGTTCTAGTAGGTTCTAGGCTTTTCACTGAATCGCTTTAGTCCTCCCAGTGGGCCCGGGAGGTGGAAAGAATAACACAAGAGTCCTCGCTTATTCTTGGAGAATGCACACCAAGGCCCCCAGTGGATGCCTAAAACCTCTGATGGTACCAAACCCTGGCTATACTATGCTTTTCCCTATATGCACATATCTACAATAAGGTTTAATTTATAAATTAGGCACAGTGAGAGATTAATAACAATGACTAATAATAAAATAGAACAATTATAACAACATACTATAATATAATTTATGTGACTATGGTCTCTCTCACTCTCTCAAAATATCTTATTGTACTGTGCTCATCTATTTTCCGACCATGGTTGACCTCGGGTAACTGATCAAGGGTAACTGAAACTGTGCAAAGGGAAAGTGGAAGGGTGGACTCCATGGAAGGGTGGACTCCTGTCTATGGCTAACAATAATTGGAGAAAACACACAGCCTTTCTCATGAGCCCAGGAGTTTCTCAAAACCATGAGGAGCATCTGAATAAAAATGTCTGAGAGCTTGTCACGTCCTAACTCATTTAATCTTAGTGATCCTATTAAATAGCTACGAGATAGGAACTCTTATTTTCCTCATTTTACAGCTGAGAAAATGGAAGACTCAGAGACCTCACGTAACTGGCCACAGGTCACACAGCTATTGAGCGAGAAGAGCATGGTGGCACCTAACCTTTCGTCTGAAGAAAGCCATCATGCCCCTTCACCAAAGTGAGGCTGTACTTCCAGAAGGACTTTGTCTCCAGGGAAGCCTTGGCTTTGGGAATCAGACCCCGTTCTAAGTTTAGCATCATTGGTGATGTTGGGTAGTAGGCTCAATGATTTTGCTTCAGTTAAATGCCACAAGCTCTCTGAAGATGGGCCCTGGCTGTCAGGGGCCCCAGCCCCTCCTCTCATTCCAGGAATGAGGGCACTCTTACCACAGTCCTTGGAATATTCTCCACCCCTCCTTTTGAGAGCTCCTTTTATGCCCTGGACATTATTGAGTTGTAGCTTAGAGAATGAAATTCCTAGGTTTGCAGGGAGCTCGGATCCACACTGGAAAGCTGACGAGCACTTCATGTCAGCAGCCTTTATTCATCCAACTTCTCTCTAGGGCGAAGGAACAGCCACCCATTATAAAACAAATTATTAAAAGAGAAATTCCAAATCTTTAAAAAAAGAGAGGCCCCACCCCTTCCCTTTTCTCTTCCCATAACCAATGAGCTTGCAGCACAATTTGTTTCTTGAAACTTTCGGGACATCAGAGTTCTGGTGTCCTCATTTTTCTTCCTTCCCATTGATGTATCATTACTAGAGTGAAAAAAGAAGGGCGTCTCGAGGGCTTTTGAGAAAAAAAAAAAAGGGTGACTACTCAAGACATTTTGTAAAGGGGGGAAAATTGCAAAGAAAAGGGACCTCAGTAGGGGGTGCAGGGGCTGTGAATGTGGCCTTGTCTGGCGGTTCTTTCAGCTGAAACCTGGTGCTGGCGTGTTCGTACTTCAGTTCAAACTGTCACCTTTAGTTCTTGCTGGCTTTTCTGCCCTTTCCCCAGAACCTCAACAGATTGGGGCTTATTTACCTATTCACACTCCGCGGTGGAAGCTCATTAATAGGCTTATTAGCAACACCATTCATGGGAGGCCATTGACAAAAGGGGTTCCAGCTACTTGAAGAGGGAAGAGAAAAAAATCTGTAAAGAGATTATTTTCTCATTCAGAAGGCTCGTTGGTGTGAAGACTTTCCTGGACCGTCCGAGGTCACTTGAAGACTGAATATGACGACAGAATTGATTTTTTTCAAAAAAATAATTCCAAACATGCTTTTGCTTTTCTCAAAACGGAAGAGTTTCCTGTTGCGGGCTTGTGGGTTTCGTAAGGCGGTAAGGGGCTCTTGATGGATTGGTGTCTTTTCGTCTCTATAAAGGGTAAATTCTGCAAACTGTGTCTGGACATTAAAGTAGGTGTTCTTATTTGTCATTTTCAGGGGAAGGCTTCCTTTCCATTCAGCGTATAAAGCCATTGATGAATGGGGACAGGGACAGCAGCTTCCTGCACCATTAATTTATGTGAGAATGTGTTAACAGCACTTTCAATGGCTGATGGGCTCTTGCAGGATGGGAAAGGAATCTGCCCGGAGACACTGAGATTCCCACTGGTGGGGAACGTGAAGATGGAGGTGCCGGCTCTGAGCAGGCGGACTTGCAGCCACGCAAGTCCTCCTGAGACTTTGAAGACACATTGGTATGGTCAGAACATCCCAGGTGGGACAGAATAGCTGAGTGTCACCTGGCTGAGGCATATGTTAATTAAAAGGCTCTGGGACTGATCCAGGCTAGAGGACTTGAGCAAAAACATCCTTCACTCACCAAGTATATAGATGGATAAATTTGCCTGAAAATCAAACTATTATTTTTGTTGTCAAATTTCCAAAATGCAATTTCATAGCTGTTTGCTTGAGGTATTTAAATGGATTTTGTTACTTCTGGCTTTTAAGTCATTTGCATGTAAGTTTTCTATGGTGTATTGTGAATAAAAGTGATTTTCTAATCAGGTGGCACCTTGAAAAAATATTTTTGTAAATGTTATGAAGTGTGCAATGCTGGTGACCCAGGTGCAACTGCATTTTTAAATGCAGGAAAGGTCGATTTTCCAGGTTAGTTTTGTTCTCACTGCTCCATCTGGGGTTTAGTGACCTTTTCTAAAGAAAAATAATTAAGGTTTTTATCTGGATGGTCTTGAACCTAAGCATGACTGATGAGGAGATGGATGAATGAAGGAGAAAAAGTATATTTAAAAATAAATTATCCTAAAGACACAGCCTAGTGAAAAGGAAAACATGAACTCTCACCAGTTACAGCGTGGTGTTCAGTTGAAGAATAGGATTTTGCACCTAAGATTTTGCATCTAAGATTCAAAGAGAGGAAATACTTTGCTCCATATCATACAGCTATTTATGGCACAGTTCAGTCTTGAGACTTTTGAATTTCTTCTTATCAATCCAAATTTGTATTACTAAACAACACAGTTTTGTTGCAGCTTTTGACTTTTTTAAAGAGCCGCGTTCAAAGTCAGGCTCTGCCAGTAGCCAGCTGTGTGACTCTGGGCAAATTACTTAACCTCTCTGATTCTCAGTTTTTTAAATCAGAAACTGAGACTATTACTCTGCAGGGTGGTCGTGCAGATTAAATGGAACCATCTATTTAGTGCACCCTGCCCATAGTAGGGCCCCCATAAATAATCCATTTTTTCCCCTTCTCATTTCTATTGTTTAGGACAGAAAAGTGCTATGTCCTGCAAATATCCTCAAGTTGCTTCCTCTCCTCCTTAAGCTTCAGTTGCATTAAGTTTTTCGCCCCCGCAGTACCATGCAGACGCATTTTAATCTCTTTGCGGGAGAGCAGGCGGAGAGCGCAGTGTCATTTGTTTCCTAACTCGGCAGAAAGCGACGTAACGCAGCCGCTCGGGAGGCGCCGGCCACCTCGCCAGGGGGGAAGGGGAGGCGGCGCGGGCGCGGGCGCGGCCTTCCTCGGAGGGCACCGCGGCGTCCCCCGCGCCGCGCCGGCCCTCGCCCGCCGGCCGGGCAGTGTCCCGCGGCTCGGAGGCGTCGGGAGCGTTGCGGGGCGCGGGCCGGGCGCGCGGCGCTGATTGGCAGGGCGGGCGCCGCCGTCCAGGAAACGGCTCGGGTTTCAGCGGGGGCGTGACCCGCGCGGGGAGGAGGCGGCGGCGCGGGCGGCGGCGGCGGAGAGCGCCGGGAGAGCCGAGCGGGCGGGCGGCGGGCGGAGGGAGCGAGCGCGCGGCCGCCACAAAGCTCGGGCGCCGCGGGCTGCATGCGCTACCTGGCCGGCGCGGCGACTCCTGTGCAGGCTGGCGCGGCCGGCCGCGAGCCCGGGGGCCCGGAGGCCGCAGCGCTGCTGCGCGCTCTGAGCGTTCGCAACTCGCCAGCAAAGTTTGGCGGAGGGAGCGCCGCGCCTGAGTCCTTTCTTCCTCTCGCTCCCCAAATCCGAGGGCAGCCCGCGGGCGTCATGCCCGCGCTCCTCCGCGGCCCGCGGCGCGCGTGAAGCCTGGGAGCCTCGGCGCCCTTGGCGGGGACGCGAGGGCCACTGTTACCGGAGTTGCCCCCGACCTCGTCGCCTGCTCCGTCCCGACCCACGCCGGGCGCGGGACAGACACTTCGCGGAGGAGCGTTGCCATTCAAGGTAATCGCCGTGCCGGGCGTCTCGGGCAGCTTCGCCCGCCGGGAAAGTGGGCGCCGGGGAGCCGGGACGCCGGGGCTCTGTCCCCAGGCGGGGGGCGCGGGAGAACGGGCATTGTGCAGGGCGCTACCTGTCCTCGCTCTTCGGCTGCGTAGGTGATGGGGGAGCTGGGTGCGCGCGGCGGCTGGCGTTTGGGAAGTTCTGCCTCCTCCACCCCCAGCCAGATGCTGACATCTGCCTCTGGCGCTGACACCCCCCTCCCTGTCAAACACCGGCAGGCGCAGTCCCGCAGGCCGGGCGCGTTCCTCCCACCCCGGAACGGACGGACCAGGACTGTGCCTGCCGGTGGCACGGCCCCACAGGCCAGGCCCCCCAGGAGCATCCTTGGGGTGCCTCATCCCCGGGCCGGGGGAGCTCCTGCCCGGTCTTATTCTGGCCTCGCGGAGGACCCTGTTTTGGGAGGGAGCTGCTGGGGCGGGGCCGGTGACATCCCAGTAGGGGTGGCGATGGACAGGGATGGCACTTTTTGGGGAGGCGGCGGCCCTGGTTCCCGGATTTCGGGGCCGGGCGCCCCTGCCCGCAGCCGCGGTCGGCGCCGGAGGGAGCGCGGCGCGCCTGGGGCTAGGGGGCGAGCTGGACCGACTTTTCCCAGTTCGCCCGCCTGCTCTGCGGCCGCCGCCGCCGCCGCCGCTCGGAGATGTCGAAAGCGCCGGCGAGTCCTAACTTGCGCGCTCATTCTTTCGGCGGCGGGGCCGCGCGGGGAAGCAGCGAGGCCCTGCGTGGCGCGGGCTCCGACCCCTGGCTGGGCGCAGGAGGCCCGCCCGGGGGCCACCAGCTTCTGCCGCTCTCCTCGCGGCCCGCTCCCTTGCAAACTATTCTCCGGACCTTCCTTCCTCTCTCCCAATTCAGCAAAGCCTACCCTTAAAGGCAAACCTGCTTTCACACTCTGGGCACCCATTATGTGTTTGGTGTGAAACGCTATCAACATTTAAAACTCCATTGTCCCCCTAGTCCCAAATCCCTATAAATCTTCCACTGGCCTCGACTCATTTTCATCTGAAAAGCCTGTTTAGTTTGAATAGAAAAGCAATCAGGCGCCCCTCTCCCTCTCCCTGGAATGTCAATTAAAATGCAGATTTCTCTGAGCTCTTTAGCGCCCCGAGAAGGGGGAGAAAAACGGGGTATTCCAGGCAAACTAATGAAAGAAGTGCTGCCCTGAGACCGGGTGGTGCGGAGCACCCCTAAACTGCGTGCATGTGCCCATTGGATTGCCAGCGGTGACCGGGAGGGGACTGTGGCCCTGGGCAGCCTGTGTTTTTTGAGATTTCAATGTGTTGAAGAATTTCCATCCCCAGACTTGACCCCTGGACACCTCCCAGCCCTACTCAGTGCTGGGGAGCAGCGGGGAGCCCGGCACCCTGAGCTTGCCTGGCACTGTTGACTTCCCTGGTGTGAAACCTACCTGGGAACAACACACGCCAGGTGCTCAGCGTGGGGGAGCTGGCAGCAGATGGATCACCCCTCAGGTGGAAGCCCGACCTGGCGGGCACCGGTGGGCACCTTCTTGGAGGGTGGGGGCTTTGGGAATGTCTGGTAAATTGGAGAGCCCAGCGCAGGCCTGGCATGGGGACCACTCCCTAGCCAGGCTCTTCTTGCTTGTCACTTTGCCTGTCTTTAGGGGCAGGCTTGTGCGGAGGTGAAAAGGGAAGGGGTTTGGGGAGGTGGCGGGGAAGAGCCATCCATCAGAGGGAGGGTGACAACTCCTCCGCGCAGGCTGAGAAGAGAGTTCCCTTTCAAGGGGAAAAATAAACACGCTGGGGCTTTCACTGGGGCTCAGACTCCAGGAAGGATTATGGTATTGAAGGCAGGAAGCCGGGATTGTGGCCGCCAGCAGCATGCTGGGCCTGTGTTCCCAACACCGGGCCTCGGGACCTAATTATCCTGCCTAGGAGGTCGCGCCATACTTTTGTCCACTGGGGTGAGGGACTGTGCAGACCTGTTGCCTTAGGTCTCTGCCTTCCAGAGATGTGGGGAGGGGGCTGCCGTGGGGCCTGGGCCTGGAAGTGGCTGAGATGGAAGTTTCCAGTGCAAGCTGTTGGAAGGACTGGATGCCATGAGATTCAGGGGAGGGCTCTGTCCACCGCTGTCCATCTAGAGCTAAGGAGGCTCCTCTGGGCAGGGGTGCGTGGGTGCTGCGGCTGGTGGAACAGCCTGGGGCGAAACCTCTGTGAGGACTCCGGATTGTTCCTGAGGTCGTGTTCAAAGTAGAAAATTCCCCTGCATTCTGGAAATGCTTAGTAAATCAGTGAGAATGTTTGTATACTTTCCTCCCACATGTATGTAGAAATAGATTTGGAATTATCTTTTGAGGTTCTCGATTTTAAGAGGAAAGAAATGTTGGGGGGAAAAACCCTGCAAGCACTCTGAAAACACAGCCATCTGACAGCATGCATGCACGTACCCTTTTCTTGCTTTTGCTGTGAATCCGACCATTTTTGACGGAGCTTTCTGTGCTGCAGAGGTTTTCTTTCTTCCTCCTTTGGAAATGGTGCATCCTTTCTGCCCTCACCCACTTTAATCCTCAGTCTAGGCTAAAAGGAGCAATTTTCATGATAGAGCTTTGGGGAGGCTCCAGCAGTGTTGAAATCCTATGTCATAATTTGAAACATCGAGTCCGGTAAACAAAAATCGCACGATTTAGAGAGTTTTTGTATTACAGGCCTCTCTGCGCCTAATCTTGTAAAGTTTGTGCATTTTGACTTTACATGTAGTCACTGAGGTCACTGAATGCATTTAAAGTTGTTTGGAAGCTTTCTTGGAAAATTCTCCTTGCCTTGGATGAAATGCATGAACAGAGGAGCAAGTCGCGTGCCCCCTTGTAACTGCTATGCCGAGATTTCAGCCAGTAGGTTAGCGTACTCAGAGACACACTGGTCCGGCGGCACACCATGACAATAATTTACGTATCGTCCTTATTAATAAACTCCTGTATTATTCATCAAAGTTTGCATCTGCTCTGCTTCTTGACCCCCTCTGCAGAGACCGAAGACATTTAGGGGTCTGGGCTGCCACTCAGTCACAGTGGCAGGGAGTTCAGGCTTCGAGTACCTTTTTGGTTTGGCTGCTTTGCATGCGCCTCTGTTCGGTTCATTCTTCCTGAGCGGCTGCCTGGCGAAACGTTGACATATGCTTCTGCACTTGAAAATGAATCCTGACAAGTGTAAACTGGTGGGAATTTTTCCATAGCCTTCCTGGGATTCTTTTGATTTTGCTGATCTCTCTCTCTCACTGCTTCCTGAGAACCACAGTGAGGGTGGAACAAACCGCTCAGCCCCAGCCGAGCAGAAATGCAGGTCTGTGAGCAGACGCCTCCCGGTTTAGCTTTCTGAAGCTCGGTTGGACTGAGAGAAGTGAACGAGGTTGGCTCTGCCAACCCGAGCATTTTTAACTTGCTTTTTGTAGCTGCCCTTGAAACTAAGGTCACGTTGCTTCTGCTTTTTGAGGGCGGGAGGGGCGACAGCGGGCAGTGGAAGGGAGCACACTTCGCCTAACTGGAGCGGCGCGGGTGTCTGTTGGCGTCCTGCAGCTTCTGTTTTATCTCTGTCTTTAAAAAGTATGCTTTTAAAAAGATGAGCCTGACAGGTTTTGTGGACCTGTTTGGTGGAGGCACCTGGGACTCCAAGGTGAGGCTGGAAGGCTTTTTGCAGAGAATGAAAAAGAACTCTGTTTGCACACATTTGAGAGGCTGAAAAATGGTTTTATTCCACTTGGGTTTCAGTGAATTGGGGAAGATTCCACTGACTCGCCGAATCTCTTTCCTTCTGTGACAGCGGCAGCAGCAGCAGCAGCAGCACCTCGGTCCCTGAGCCCACCGCAGGCTGAAGGCATTGCTGGCAGTCCATGCTCGTAGAGGAAGTGTGCAGATGGGATTAACGTCCATATGGAGATATGGAAGAGGACCGGGGATTGGCATTGTAACCATGGTCAGCTGGGGCCACTTCATCTTCCTGGTCGTGGTCACCATGGCAACCTTGTCCCTGGCCCGGCCCTCATTCAATTTAGTTGAGGATACCACATTAGAGCCGGAAGGTAAGTTGTTTAATTTTGCTTTCAGGGTACCAAGTTTGTTTTGGGATTTGGCTGGGGGGAGTGGCACTTATGGTAAGGCCTGTTTTGGAATCGGCTGCCCTTGAGCTGTAAATGCAGCTTCTGAAAGCACCGGGAGAGGGTCTCTCGGCTTCCCCCAGGGCGGAGGTTACGAGCGAAGGTTCTTAGCTGCAGCGCTGCGGGCAGGATGGTATAGTTGGCTGGTCTCTTGGCGTGTGTGTTGCTCTGTGCTGGGGAGGCGGCAGCAGCAGTTCACCTTTATCCAGTGCCCGGGAGAGCTGTGGAAGGGCCGGCCGTGGGAGGATGCAGGATGAATGTCATCTGTAGTCTCCTGCAGCACCGTTCGGGCGAGAGTCTTGCTTACAATGTGAAGAATTGCTATTTTCTGACAAAAGGAACCTGTAAGGGAAATTGCCAACATCTGAAATGCTGACGTCTTATTTTCATTGTTTAAGGAGCAAAGAAGGTTCTGAAGTTCAGCATGGAGAGAGGCTTGACACATTAGGTTTTTTTTTTTAGCCATTGTAATTCATAGTACTTAAGCAATGCCTCACAGAGTGGCAGATTCTATTTTGGGTAAACTTGAAAGTGAATATGTCAGGGGGTCTCCCATTTCTGGGAACTTCCAGATCTCGCAAGGCAGGCATTGGTGTTTCAGCTTTGGAAATGTCATTTTAAAGGCATAAGGCCGGTTGTGAGGACTACACGAGGCTGAATTATTCAGCTGGGCAGATTTGGAGCCTCTCTCCCAGGTCCTCTGGAGACAACGTTAGCCAAGCCTCTACTTGGTGCTGCCTTGAAATCTGTCATCAGGAGGGAATATTGGTAGCTGAGTTATTTTTCGAGTGGTAATCCGAGAATAAAACGGCAGATCCTAGCACTCATCGCCACTTAATGAACCTGTTTGCTGGGAGCCCACCTGGTGCCTGCCTGGCTCTGGGAGCCTGCCTGGCTCTGGGAGCCCGCTGCTGTCCTGAGTGGCAACTGGGGTCAGCTGAGCGGCTCTGGGCACACAGCCTGGGCGTGGGGTGCGTGGGCAGCACGCTCAGCCAGGGGGGAGACTGGGGGAGGACAGAGAGCTCAGGCTCCCTAGCCCTGCCAGGGCCATCCGTGGAGGAGGCTTGTGTTCCAGCTGAGCTGAGCGTTCTGGGAGACGTGGTCCCCCCAGGAAGACCCCGTGCACGTGTCTGTAAGGGATAAGGACCGAAGCACTTATCACCCGAAGCAGTTTTGTGAGACTGGGGACCTTTTTGTTACACAGAGGCGTGGTGGCTTTATAATTAACAGGTGTGGTGACATCGGCCTACCACATCTCCGTCACTGGGAAGGGAATCTGGTAGGGGTTTGTGTCTGAAGCTTGTGCAGGCCACTGCTCTAGACTGATTATGGAGCTGCCTGTTTGTGACTTGTGTTGGGACATCAGGACGAATGTAATTTGCAATGGTGATGCATTTTTAAAAGGCTTAATGTGGGGGGGGGGAAAGTTTCCAGTTTCTGAAAGTCATGCCTGTACTCTTTAATTTTGCTAATAATTAAAATGGATGTTTCCCTAATTGCTGGTTCTCCCTTGAGTACGTGGCGCAGCACAAACTGAGGAAGCTGAGCTGGGATTTCTTACAGTGTGGGCTTCAGGAAGGGCCCAGGTTAGGGAAAAACTGTCATTTTTCATTTGGATTTTCAGGGCAGCGTTATTGTGAGCTTATTTCAACGTAGAGTATAAAATGGTTCTGGAGGATTTCTTTTACAGTACATAATTATCGAAGGGAGTTTAAAATGTGTGTGTGCATGTAGGGGGAGACAGGGGAGGCAGAGAAGGAAGAAACTGGAAAGGGACGAAGCCTCCCAGATGGGTCTTCATGTAAGAATTTGTGTCCAATAATGTGCGTGTCGTTGGAAGCAGGTCTTCCCAACCTAGATCTGCGTTTGCACTTAGGGGTCAGAGGAGGTTCATGAAGTCCCTGAAATTGTAAGTAATATTTTGTGAAGGTCCTTTTGTGCATTTTTCTAGGTTCATAGTTTCCATGAGGTTTGTATCCATAGTTGTGAGACATTAAAAAAAAAAAAATGGAGATGATTTAGAGGAAAGTGCAAAATCCCACTAGGAGAAGGCTTTGGAAAAGCATGGAAGGTCCTAGACCTCAGTTTCCCTTTCTGTCATCTGAGGGTTTGATAAGATTATCTTTAGAGTCTCTTCACTAATATTCAATGACTATTAATATCCTCAGAAGCCTTTTGACTACCTACCTCTAAAGGTGGTTACTAGATTTGAATTTGGCCTGGATATAAAGAGCAGCAAGCACAGGGCCTGGTTATCTAATAAGCACCTGTTGCATGGTATTGTCATCGTTGTCTCCAGTGAGCTGGGAACGTGGGTCTTTGCAGTCCTGTGGGCTGGCTCTGCCAGTTGCCACGGTGTCAGGAACCATCCAGGCTGTTGGATCCAGTGGAGAAGAAAACAGCTGTGTTTGTTCTCTGTAGGGTCCGGGCTCCTCTCACCGTTAGTGCGATGTTGGCAACTGATGTGGGCTCTAAGACCACCAGTCCTTCCATTGCAGGAGTTTTGCTTTGGTGCCAGAGGTGATGAGGAAGGTAACTGAATTAAAGATGAGATAGGAGTTTTTGACAGCTGGAAGTGGGCTGGGGTTTAGGCCCTGTGGTGTCCAATTGGAGTGTGTGTTGTCTGTGTGTCTGTGTCCCCATCTGTCCATCCTCCACGGTTAATATAGCAAGAGCTTTGGTTAGCAGCAAGTTCAACCCTGACCTTCTGTTGCACAAGGCCCTATCTTGGAAAGACTTTTTGGTTTGCTTATTTGGAAGCTGAGTTTAGATAATTTCTGTTGGGCAGGAAAAAAATGTGACTGAAAAGTTCCAGGAAGGAGCCTGGGCCCTGACACTAGAGGATCCTTTTCTTTGGCCTTTTCAAGGAAAGGTTATGTCCAGTTGTCTCAGCTTTGTACAATATCATATCATATGTCATGTCATAGCATGTATGTCATTTGTCCTCTGGGCACTTTCTGAAGAGGTAACAGTGGGGTTGGGTCTACTCAATTGACTTAAGAAAACAATCTCTAGAAGATTTTCGTTTTTAATATTTCAGATTAAAAATGCTTATTTCCATTTGGTCATTTCATTATTATAGGGGACCAACAGAAGGGTGGGAAACGCAGTTATTGACTCAAAGTGGGGGCTGATCTCAATGCTAAATACTATTCTGTTGATTAATGTCCTAAATATTTAAAGTATAGTCAAGCTTGATTACCCTGAGCAACTCTTACTTTCAAGTTCTTTCTGACATTGTCACCTTACTCTGGTTAATTAAGTCATTGTTGACATTAACAGCATTTTTGTTTACACCAACCCAGTGGGAGCTGAAATAAAAGGGCTTTTCCAACCCCAAACCCTTAATTACTTTCCCACCCTCCACAAAGTGTGATTCTGAAAAGCAACAACTTAGAGAAAAAAGTAGTTTGCATGTTTTTTTTTTTTTTAATTCAATTTATTTGGACAATCTTTACAGAGGCGATGCTGTCGTGGACCAGTATGAGTTGGTCCAAAGTTCAACAGCAGAGAAGTTGAGGATGGGGTCCATATGCAGACCTTCCTAAGTGAGATTTTTCCAGCGTGGTTTAAGTCCTTTGTTAGAAGTATTGTAAATACCATAACATCAGCCACACGCATTTAATTGCAAGTTAAAAGAAAAGAAAAGAAAAAAAGAATATATCCGCATACCAAGAGTGAATGATTTAAAATAATCTTCTGTTTCGCATTATCTGCATCTTTGTTCCTCAATGAGTGTTAATATTTAAGAGTTGACTGTAACTTGATAGTTAGCTTAGGAACAAGGACTTATTCTTGGTCAATTAAACCAAATGCAGGCTTATGCAGTTAAATACACAATGAAGTACACATTCTTTATTAGTATGTAAAGTATTTCACAATTCATAGACAAAGAGCTATGTTTAATATTACTTCTAGAGCAAAAATCTGGCAAGCCCAGAGAATTTGTATTTGTATCATTTCTATACTGGCTCTGATGTATGTGTGTGTGTGTTTGTGTGTGTGTGTGTGTTTGTGTGTTGCCTGTTTATATCAACCAGTTAAAAAGACTGAATGCCTATTATGCAAAAAGCCCCCACCAGCCCATAACTGAAGACTTGTTCCTTCTTCCCTATCCAGTTGAGGGTGAGAATTCAAATAACCAGAACAATCCAATATGAGATGTTTCCAATATCAGACTTAATGAATAATTACATGGTTATGAAATAACTGGGGTCCTGTTTAAACTGGAAGAGTTTTGTTTAATGTTCACATTCTCTATAAAATGTATCCACTAGACCTCCAGCTTGCAGACTGTTGTTTATTTGGGTGTTTATTTAGCCAAAGATTATTGTTAAAAGAATACCAGTCTCCTTTAATCAGAGTCTAGCTTACTTTTACATTTCCATTTCAGCTAATTTTAGTCTTTAAAGGAAAACATGGGAAATAGGTTTTTGGGGGCTGCGAGATAAACTAGGTAGGAAATACAGCTGGTGTGTGACTGTTATGGTTTGAGATTATTTTTTTGGAAGTTTGTTAGGCTATTCCATAGATCATTCTGATCCAGTGGGTTTTATGTGGCTGTGCAAAAATGTCCACAGTCTCTATTTTTAATTTTTTTTCCCTAAAAAAAATTGGGAAATGGGACTGTCCAAATAAATTGAATTTTTAAAAAATGGGATGATTTTAGCCTTAGACTTTACATTCTTTTTATCCATTTGTTATGTCCCACATGAGATTTAGAGATGGCTCTACTTTTTCAGCTTTGCTAGCATGGAAGTCTTCCTCCCTGACCTGTTGTCTTAGGGTAGTTTCTTTTAACTGATAGCGATGGTTGTTGAAGGCTGTATGTGGCTCAACAGTGAGGCTTACGTGAGGGCTACAAGTTTAGCAGCTACCTGAAGGGGCTGGTTTCTGAGCACTTCATTATGTGTCAGTATCATGAT